CCGGATCGGAAAGGCGCTGGACTGCCCACCGGGGACAGCGCGTGCAGGCCCAGACCGGGCGGGACCTCTGCCCCCTGTGAGGGCGGACGCCCCAGCGCCTGCTCTCACCTTGGCTCTGGCCCGGTAGTTCTCCACGCAGATCCGGATGCACCCCTCCACCTGCGTGGCGCGGGGGGACAGCAGAGCGATGGAGGGGCCGGGCTCCGGGGGCGTCTGCTCCTCTGCTGTCTTCTAAGAGAAGGGGATCAGAAGGAGGATTATGCCAGTTCAGAGCGCATGGACTCGTGGGGATGACATTTGACAGGGTATTACACTTATGGCCATGCGGCCTTCATAATAAACACTGGAACTGGGACGTCAGACTATGCACATTGTATTTCAAATCCACATTCCACACTGATCCATGGGACCTCATTCTAGGAACAATTTGAAGGATGCTATACACAGTACACTGTATGCCTTTGCTGCTATATTTGTCTACTGTGATTATCGTGTAATATTTAATATTGGAAATATTAGAGAATTGGAAATTGACAGTTTACAGCTGTAAACCAGCAACAACATTAAAAACATGGAAAGAAATCGTTACTGGGGTTGGTCAGGAAGCTGTGGGGAATGCTATTTTCTACCTGCAATAGCAACTCCTGATGAGCTGAAAAAGAAAATGCATTTACTGATTTAGGGATGTTTTAGAAAGCCCGAGTGACACATCTGCGGCGTGTGAAGTCTGGGGTTTTGCTCGGGGTCTGTTACTGCAGAGGGTTCGGGTCGAGAGGCCACAGCGGTCTCTCAGTCACCTCTGTGTTCCTGACCACTGCAAGTGAGGGCAGGGCTGGTTTCCAGCGCTGACCGGGCGAAGACTTACCGGTACCTCCTTCCCCTCCGGGCTGGGGGTCCTGGGGGAGGCGAGGGGGGCCAGCGGGGGGTTCCCCGAGAGGCCCGGGCTGGAGGGGACAGCATCACTGCAGAGCCCCAGGCTGGAGTCCGAGCCCGGGGACGAGGCCTTGGCCAGCAGCCGGGGGCTGAGGTGCTTCAGAAGACGCCCAGACAGCTCTGAGAGGCAGGGGGCAGTGTGGCACCCCGCAAAGATGTCCTGGGGGACAGGTCAAGACCGTGACATCACAGGGCAGCCTGACGGCCGGGGCTCTGTCACATTCACAACGACCTCGCGAGAGTCCCCACACAGACCCGACAGGCTGAAAGAACACACCTGACAACAGTGTCCGTGAAGTGTTTCCCTGGCGTATTGTGCCACAGAAAATAACCCATAACGTGCAGATAGCATGAGGATCTGGGGCACAAACAAGCCTCAGACACCATGTAAGCATATTGCATCGAGCTCCCAGCCCCTGAGCACTACAGGAATAGATTCAGCCTACTTCTCTGTATTCAGATGACTTAAAAATGGGAACGTCTCCCTTCAGGTTAATTTTAGATTGAGGCTATGAATAAGGCGCTTATTTGAAAACAAAGTATTTAATGTCTTCGCATGTGAAACACGACAGTATAAACGACATAAGGCAGCTTTCATTGACAACACTGACGTTAAACATTTTTTTAAAGTTTACTTCAAATTATGTATAAAAGCTCCGAAAGCGAAAGAACCCGGGATCACGGATCATTAGCACTAATAAGCAGGTTAGCTATTCAAACACAAGTCCCCCATCTCATGCCGCCGTGTTTAAAGTCTCTACCTCGCCATTCTGCGGCCAGTCTTTGTCGTAGTTCAGCTTGCCCTTGGGGGAGTTTCTCAGGGCCTCCAGAGTAACCCATCGTATACTTTCGGCGGGCATGTCTGCAACAGCTCCCTGCCTGCCAGAGAGATCACAGAGCGGGACGTAAACAGCTCGAAACCATCAAGACAAGAGAACCTCACGCCGCTTGGAGGAGGAGCAAGCAACAGCGACGTCAGATCTCCACCCGCCAGCTTCCTCTTCCGGGTTACCCGCGGGTCACGAGCGGGTCACGTGTGCAGGGCCTGCCCGCTGGGCGGGGGTAGCGGTGGAGCGGCCGAGCAGCAAGACCAGGAAACTGTCGACCCCACGGTTGGGGTTGGGTGTGAGCTGAAAACATAAACGTTGTTCTTTTACAACTTATTTACTTACTGAAAAATATATCTCGTTCTTTTAAAAATCCCATCCGAACTGTATTCCGCATGGTACAGTATTTCCATGCCCCTAAATAATAATAATTGCTTACACTTGTATAGCGCCTTTCTGGACACTCCACTCAAAGCGCTTTACAGGTAATGGGGATCCCCTCCACCTCCACTAGTGTGCAGCCCCACCTGGATGATGCGCCAGTGCCCTCACCCACAGCAGCTCTCAGTGGGGAGGGGAGCAGAGTGATGAAGCCAGTTCAGAGATGGGGATTATTAGGAGGCCGTGACTGGTAAAGGCTAATGGGAAATGTGGCCAGGGTGACACCCCTACTGTTTTCAAGAAACGCCCTGAGATTTTTAATGACCAGAGTCAGGACCTCGGTTTTATGTCTCTACCGAAGGACAGCACTTTTTTTTTTACAGTACAATGTCCCCGTCATCAGTATAATTTTCTCTCACACAGGACACAAGAGACAGAATTCATAAATAGAGGTTTTATTGGACCTCACTCATTTTTTCTTTACATATCATACAATGTAAATTTCTGTACAACACGAATAGATATAAAAACATTTTAAAACAAAGATAAAGCTAAGAATAAAAACAGCTATAATCATAACAGACAGCCACGAGGACTAAAGGAAGATTGTTTCTTTTATGTTAACAGTCCACCGGAGGACTCATTAACTGAGTTCCAGAATGTAGGCTATGATACTGATAATAGATTTGTATGAGGATAAAATGGTGAAAATAGGTTAAAATACTTTTACAACCAAACCAATATCATTTTTACTCATTTAATAAAACCACACCCTATCCCACTGTATTCATTGACAAACAGACAACCAAAGTTTAATTCTTGATTATTCTTACGGTACAAAAACTATCAGACTAGTGCAGAATCACTGAATAGCACCTTCTTAGTTAATGGAATACTTCATTAGCCCTTTATGAACCCCTTCCAAATGGGTTGGGAGGAATCTGCTGAAAGGATTCACTTCAAGGCTTCCTACAGTGGACAAGGTGCTTGAGGATGGAGGGAGTTCAAACCGGCCTCAGTTTTGACAAAACAGTGACACGATACCCTTTACTTCAGCAGAGCAGCATCTGTAGTTGACATTCCTAAAGGCAGCTCCTCTGTCTTTCCATAGGCCGTTCAGTGAAAGCACCTGAGAGATTTCAAACGGCAACTGCTGCAACAATCCTAATCATTGTAAATCAGTGAAACCACATCACGCAGTGAGACACCCGCCATCACAAGGGTCTTGACGACAGACGCACGTTTTGGCATTTATTGTAAACCATGCTGGATTTTCACCTGGAACAACCCGTATGAAACGAGAATACCCAGGAGCACTGGACACAGCAGTGAGGAGCGAGGCCAGGCCTCAGGCTGTGGCGGAAGACAGGACGGCCAACAGAAGCTGAAGCCTCGCCGGAGGGGCCCTCAGATGGGAGAGGGGGGCCGCAGGGCGGAGCTGGTCAGGGCCGGGTCTCCGAAGACGTTGGCATAGGAAGCCTTGAGGAACTGGACGTAGTTCTGCAGGCTGCGGTTGGTGCTGTCCGACTGCTCCAGGCGGTCCCGCATGTCCTGCAGCCGGCTCTGGAACCGGCGGTCGGCCTGGGAGGACGGCAGAGACACCCGTTACTCCGCCTTCCCCTCAGTCCTGGTCAGCAGCACAGACTGCCGCCCAGCAGGTTTATTCATTTCACTCAGGAACATTCGGATTGCAGGGAGGGACTGCCTGTTTAAAGGGAACTGCAGTCCCAATTTCTCAGACCGGTTATTACATCTCGGTAAAAAAAGTAATTCATTGACAGTACAGAAAAATGTAACAAACGTCAAACTGCGCGCGAGCTACGTGAAAGTACTGCAAGCCGATTCTTTGTCGTCGTCATCCGACCACAGTCTCCTAATTGCCAAGCAGCGAAGAGGCTTACGTCCTCTTTGGTCCGACGGAGCTGGTTCAGCTCAGTCTTGGTGCGGCTCAGCTGGGTCTCCAGGTCCAGAACCTTGCCCTGGGCGGCGCGTTCCTTGGAGACGGCCCGTTCCCTGGTCTGATCCACCTGACGGCACCATGGAGAAACACAGTGCCAGCTCAGGGCCTGCGGGTTATCTCTCAAGCCTCACCACAACCTTTAATTTCCCTCTCTCTCCACACAGGGGAGAATTTAGGTGTGCCAAGAGACTATATATCAATTCTCAAAACTTTGAAAGGCCTCTGAGTCGCATTTGAAACAAAAGTATTAAGTCCTCCAAATACAGAAGAGAACTAAAATACCAATGCACTAAGCAAAAATCAGAGCAAAGTGAAATTCATATTCATCTGGTAGCTAGGCCACGCAAGGCCTGGTGCAGACAGCTGTGCAGTAGGCTGACTTTTAAACCTCAGGGACTGAATCACTATAGGACAGAAAACTGAACTATTTCCTTGTTTTGGATTGTATTAGTCTCCTGGGAAACAACCTTATTTTCAGGACTCTGGGGTTTTATCAATGGGCAAAGCTGCAGGAATAATTTAATTTGACATTTTCCATGCATCTTGTGTAAAGAAAATTCCCAAGGAAGATTACAATAAGAAGGCAATTTAAATGTATTTTCATTTGATTGTTCAGATCACCATTAGCTTACCTAAGAAATTCTGTGCTGGGCAACGACTTCATGTTTTAATAATATTCTCAGTACTAGAAGACAGAGCCAGGATCTGAATGAATGTTGGCCATGATTGCCTTCTACAAGGAAGGAATGCCGTTTCCCCAGCGGACTGGACTCACCTGGCGCCTGGCGTCCTCAAGGGCTCCCTCTAGCTGCCGGGCCAGTGTACTGCACTCACGGGACTTCTCCTCCAGCCGCAGCTGGTTGTTATGGATGGTCTCCTCCCTCTTGGCGATCACCTGCACCAGGTCTCTGTTCTGGGCATTGGCCTCTTCCAGCTTCCTGCAGGGAGGGGTCACAGGAGGGCCAGGGGGATTGACAATGGCACTGGGAGTGACAGGCAGGGACCAGCGGAGCTTCTCCTGCTCTAAAAGCAATAGTGATTCACACACCGAAGCCAGATAGCACTGCACCGCGAACTTGCTTCTGCTGCTGCTCAAACCTCTGACCTGAACCTCGGAGACATATTGACAGGTGTTGAATTGCTCCAGAAACTTTAATCATCATATCAAACACATAACACTTTCAACATCTTTAAATAAGTTAGCACCACAGGTGCCTGTGCTATTTTGTCCTGACAAGATCCTTTGTGAATGGAAGGACTGATAGCACCTTATTTAATGAGACAGTAATGGAGAAACTAAGAAAATGTGCTGGTAAATACATCTTTGAATGTTTTTGTGCCTTGCACCTTTTACTCTTTTTCTTTGCTCAACTCTTTTCCTGTAAGTACATGTTTACAGAATAACACAAAGCTGTAGACTCTTAATAATTTTCTCTTTTTAAAGGTTTACACAACTTGGTCCCAAGACCTGCACATCGCCTTGCAGTACGGAAAGGTCTGGAAATCCCTGTTATTCTGAAGTGGGAGTGCGTCTGGTGAGGGGGAGGGGGCTGTTGGTTCAGGAGCCATGTGGCGGTGTGACCTCTGACCTCTCCAGGCTGTCGACGCGCAGGTGCAGCTGCTTGTTCTCCTCCAGCAGGGCCATGTTCCTCTCCCGGACTCCCTCCATCTGGCCCCCCTGCTGCTCCACCTGCACCAGCGTCAATCAAGCTATCAGACCATCCTGAGACGGGCCTCCCACCACATTATCCTAATCCACTGAACACCACATTTGATCATAGCTTCTAGCACACAGCTGTATGAGAAATGAAGCACTGCGCAGTGAGCTCCTGACTATCCGTGGGCGATGTCGTGATTAGATCCTCTGGCTGCTTCGGAAACTGCTCTGTGCGGCGACTGTGGATCACCACTATTGGATCTCTCTCGGTCAGTCCTCTGTTCTACACCAGGTCAAGGAAAACAATCTGTTCGTGGCGCAGTAAAGGTTTTGCTCTGTGCGCTTTAGTGTTATGCCAGCCTCCTCCCCGTGCCGCCCCAGATAAATGACTGCTGGCAGCGCGGAGTGTCCAATGCATTGCAACGCGCACAAAGCAAGATATTTTACTGCGAATAAATTACAAGGGTTCCACCTGAGAGCGGGGCCCTTTCCGCTTGTTGTGCAGTCAGAAGCTCACTAATACAATGCAAATATTTATTACATCCTATTACATATTGCATGGCTATGGATGCAAGATTAGGGGTTAGAGCTTCTCTCCCTGTCTGTGTGGCTCATGGAGAGCAAGCTGGGGCCTGCGAACAGACAGATTCCTCATGCAAGAAGTTGTATAGGGCCAAAAAAGTGGTCTTAAACGATGTAGAATATCTGTGAGCGGCGCCACAAGCCCGAGCTCCCGCGGAGAGGCCCTACCTTGCCGCGCAGCTCGGCGAGGGCGGCGGCCTGCTCGGCGCTCCTCCTCTCGCAGGCCTGCGCCTGCGCCTGCGCCGCCTGCAGCTCTAGCTCGCGGCGCCTCAGCAGCTCGGGCAGCGGCTCCAGCTCGGCCAGCCGGCCCAGCAGCTGGCCCCGCACCAGCTCCACCTCGCGGCCCAGCTCCGCGCGCGCCGCCTGCCCGTCCTGGCCCGCCTGCTGCAGCCGCAGGCAGTACTCGTCCGCCTCCGCGCGCGTCTTATGCACCTGGAGGCAAGATCAGGAGCTCTATAGCAAATAACTCTATCTTATTATATACTATACTGTACGTCCACATGGCTAGCAAACGTCTTCACCTCTCTTGGACTTTTCAACATGTTATCGAGTTACAATATGGAATCATAATGTATTTCATCTGTTTTTTTTTGCCATTGATCGACACAGAACAATCATGTATTTTCTATTTTGAAACGGCAGCTCCAGTATGCTCACCTGTGTCTTATAGCTCTCCACCAGGCTCTCGTACTGCTTGACCGACGCTTTCAGCTGCTGCACCTCAGACTGGGCCAGAGTCAGCTTCTCCTCCACTGCGGACAGGCTGGCCTGCACAGAAGAGCAACAGGCTAGCCTCGCTAGGTCCAGCACAGCTTCCAGAAGCCCTTCATCACCTCCTCCTCCGGCGGGGCGCGTGCCTTGAGGCGCTGGCTCTCCAGGCGGCCGGCCGTGCTCTCGGAGGTGAGGCGGTGCAGTCTGTCCAGCAGGCCCTCCCTCTCCGCCCGGGACTTGTCCTCCGCGCCGTGCAGCTGATCCATCAGGTCCGTGACTCGGCTGCACACAGCACACAGGCGCGCGGTTAGAGACCCAGTCCCACCTGCGTCCACCTCAGACCTCCCGCGGGACATTTCCACCCAGCGCGAAAAGACGCTGGAGTGACGCGCTGACACGTCTGGCTATCTACATTTTCTTTCAGAGCGCAACGATGGAAATGGTTGAAAACGATTCACTAGTAGCTTGTTCAACATTCGTTTGTTGCCATCTGCATTAACATCTTACTTACATCGGCACTCTTCGGTTTGAAACTGACACAGACAAAGAGTCTGTTTCTTTATTGCAAAGACTACCTCAGTTGGATATTTTTTTCTAGAGAAATACATAATTAACCAGTGTGCTAAGATGTCACCAATGGTCTTACAATTAATAAGCTCTGGATCAAGGTCACTTAGGCCACGTGCAAGTTTATCTGCAGTACCTGATTAGCTGTCAGACTCACTTGTTCAGGACAGTGACTTCAATCTCAAGCTGGCTCTTATCCTTCACAGCCTGGGCGTGGCGACTGCGCCAGCTCTCTGAGGCCGACAGGGCGTCTGCTAGCTGAGTCTCCTGTGGGGCAGAGCACAGAGGCAGGGGTGATCGCAGGTCACATGTCAGTGTCACAGCCACTGAGCTACACATGCCAGCAGTCAGACAGCACAGGCAAGCGGCTCTCTTCAGCGTCAGGTTAGCATGCCAGAGCTAAAAGGTCTATCAATCACGTATCCCGATATTGTAGTGACTTGGGAAACACAATCTTAGGGTATTCCCAGTCCAATATCTTACAGATATCTTTTATTGGAGATGTTAGATATTTTTATCATGGGACACTGGGATTCCCGATGATTATATATCATCGACACCTTCCTCATTCTTGCTGGATCAGGTCCTAATTATGGCGAGAAATGTAGGAGCACAACTGGTTCTCTATCAAAAGTAATTTCTACTGCAAAGCTCCACTCCAACGATGGGGATGACCACAGTTTCTAACGGCATGATAACCTGAAAAAAGATCACCGACGAGAGGAGGTCATGTGGCCAATCTAGCGTCTACTAGGTGAGACTACAATGGCAATAACTCCAAGGGTGCCAGAAAAAGCAGCACGTACGGTATATGACAGACAAGCACGTGACACCCACACCTTTTCCATGAGTTGTGCGCTGAGCTGTCCGGCGGTGTCCTCGCTGCGCTCCGCCCGCTGCTTCTGCGCGCGCGTGGCCCGCTTCAGCGCCTCCTTGTCCGCGTCGGCTCGCTGCTTCAGCTCCCGCAGCTGTTCCAGGAGGTGCTCCATCTCCCCCTGCTGCTGCGTCAGCGTGCGCTCCAGGGTCTGAGACGGCGAGGGGTCAGAAGACGAGCTGAATCGCCAACAGGCCCGAGACCCACACAGACCACCCTTCAGGGATTATTTATCAAGAACATCCTGCAACACTTCGGCAGATTTGCGGTTTTGTAGCTCCACTGTACCATCAGCAGGAATCATTCATCTTTCTATTAATATTATCCTAAACATTTCTCTTCTAGGACTGGGAATTAACTTTGCAATTTGTTTTCACAGTTAGCTGGTACATACATACAGGATATAACATTGTCATTATACATCAAGGGTAAACAGCACTTATTATTAGTTTAGCAGAGGCCCTTATCTAGGGCTGTGGTCCTCCTGTATTAAACTTTTCCTGCACACGCTAGCTGTTAGACCTGGTAGACAGCAAAGAAGAGCAGCTCTCTTCAGTGTCAGGGTCATTTCCTGGATGGATGCCTTTCTAAGATCCTGACGTTCTGAATGACGGGGACCCACTGGTGTAGACGGGGGGTTGTTACCCGGATCTGGACTCCCAGACGGTTGTTCTCAGCCTCTCGGCTGCGCAGCTGGCCTTGCAGGTGGGCCCTGGTGGACTCCAGCGCCTTGGACAGCTCCCCTGTCGTTCTGGCGTTTTCCTGCAGAAGAAAGTATTCTGCTCAGGGGACACCGCGCTACGGTGAGCTCAGACTGTTGAAGATCTCAGCCGTGGCCTATATCCTACATCAGCCGGACCAGTCCAGGCACCATTCAAAGAAGATGGCAAAATACAGGGTGTGGCGCATTATTTGTAATTGCGGTGGCATGCCTACACCATTAGGGTATTACCTTCTCAGTCTCCAGCTGCGTTTGGAGCTGGTCGAGCTCTTTCTCCTTCTCCTGAAGCTTCAACAGAAGACGCTGAGAAAAACAAAGAAGAGAAAAAAAAGAAGACTCTCTGTACGCGGAAAGAAGCCAATTCAGTAAATCAGCTCAATAACAAGACCAGCAGGGCCAACGCAACCTTAACTTGCCTGCCTCACGCAAACTACGAACCCTGAATGTCATGGCAGATTGCCGCTGGGTAAAAGCTAAAATGTCATGATTTAGTGGGTTTGCAAACTTGTAATCTGGACAGACTGGAGTGGAGAGCAGTGACGCTATATGTCCTGACGTGTATTTATCCACACAACGCGGCTGTGGAAAACCAGCCGTAGGACGACGCACGACGATACAGGAGCTGGGCAGGCAGGAAGCAATACTGAGCGAGGGAGCGTACGGTGTTATCTGCCTCGTTGTCAGCCAGTTTCTTCAGCAGCACCTCCTTCTGCTCCGAGAGCCTGATCGCGTCCGTCTGCTCAACAGGAAACAGCGAGTTAGCAGGCCGCCCCCCGCGCGCGGCGAGCGGGTCGGCGGGGCAGGGAGAGGCCCGACCTCGCGGCCGTGCTGCTCCCTCAGCAGGTGGCGCAGGGTGCGGTTGGTGCTCTCGAACGTCTCCAGCTTCTGCATCAGCAGCTCCTTCTGCCGGGCCAGCAGGGAGGCGTCCGAGCTGGACATGCGCTTCTCCTGCGGGGACGACACAGAGGCCCACTGTGGCACCGATACCAAACCACCCCCTTCTCTGCTCCACGGCCTGGCGACCCTCCGGGGGTCCGCAGCAAATCCAAACAAAGTCTAAATGAAAGTTAGCCATTGTGTCTTTACAATATGCATCTTCCCTTCCCAAAGCACAGTGATCCAGCACTATGTTACTGATCATTTACAAATACTGCTCTAATATCCTAATATATTTCATACACCGATAATTTAATACAAACTGAAGACCTTTTTTTAAATCAAATTAACAATGGGAATGGGAATTTTTACAGCCGCAATCCAATGATTCCATTTACTATGTTTCATAGCTTGTTTGCTTGCAGGAAATGAACACTTTTTTCTCCTTCTGTTTCTGCTGCAGTATAATTGCTCAGCAGCATTGGTTTATATGCAGAATTTTTTTTTTCTAAAAGCCTTCAAAGCTTGCAGTCTTAACACAGTGTTCACATTTAGATGGTTACCATAATACAGGACGCTAGTATCTGTGTTACAGCAGTGAATTATTCACTCAATAAATCAAACAGGAACGACCAGGTCTGAAAGGTTTTGTTGTGCTAATGCACGTTCTGGGAGCGGATACGCTCTGAGACTCCCTGTGGAGCTGTGGGCGTCCCTCGTGTCCCGTAACTCACCGTCCTCATCCTGCCGATGGTCTCCCGCAGCGCAGAGACCTGCTTGGCTGCCGCCGCCCCGTCCATCTCCGCCTCCACCAGCTTCTTCAGGAGGGCGTCCTTCTCCAGCAGGAGGTGCTGTTTCTCCAGCCTGCCAACACACGGTGCAGCCACACGCACCTTCAGTCTGCGCCACCATGCTCAAGAGGGGCTATGCCAGGGTTAAACACAGGCACAGGCTGCTACTCCGCGCAACAACCTTACAGTTAATACACGCTACAGAGGGAAATGAAGAGAAAACGTAACCTGAGAATTCTGTGCATCTAGCTGTAGAGCTACCATATCCTTCCGTTACATTGTTCACTGGTAGAAATAAGGAGCTATGTAAACCAAAGAGGTGCACTGAAAAGGATCAGAGAGTACTTGACTAACCACCTGTTTTTTCTGTGCTAAAGCTAAAATATTCAAATACAATGTCCTGTATTTATGTTGTTGATTCTGTGTGTACAGTAAATCCAGGGAATTTAACAAAAATATAAAGTTAGCATTAATCATGCCCAAAAATGGGTCTTGATATGTTCATGGAATGATATATTATATTATTAAAATAAAGTGCAAGACATCCCTGTACACATCCGTTTCGGTGCTTTGCTATTTTACCTACCACTGCCGCAGAAGAATTTATAAATCCTCTAGTCTTTTAAAACCACCTCACCCGTTACTGTCCTGTCCTTTGAGATGATCAGAACTAAAGCAAAGAACAAAAGACGCTCAGCAAAGGAAGAATCAATACTTACTACACCCATATGAATCATAGGGGCCAGTACATTTTAAATGTAAGTTTTGCACGCTAAAACTGAAAACATCTGCATTTAATATTAAAAGCAAACTTCATTTGAGTCAGTGCCACTGCAATTTAAATACATTTTCAGACATTTCCTAAACTGTAACACGAAAAGAGTCACAAACCACTGCATGCCAAAGGCATGCAGAAAATGACTATTTCCCAGGAACACTGCTTTTCAGGAAAGTTCAATAATATGAGGAATGTGCGCATCCAATTTAAGTTTGCAGCACTGCATATTGTCGTGAAGGATGCTGAAAGCAGTTCAGAGTTAAACCTTGCTTATCTCACTAAGTAATAGTAAAGGTGATGAAGCAACAAAGAAAACCACTCTGCTGTACCAGTAGCAAAGCACTTTGCACAGTTTTATATAAACAAAACAATATATAAACAAAGGCAGAAAACCTCATAATCACTGAACCACAGCTCCTGGTCTGTCACGGGTGAAGGCCCAAGTCTGGGCTGAGATGTCAAACATGTTTACCATGAAATAAGTCATCAGACTGGTGTGTGATGAAGTCTCAGGCCAGTGGGATCCGCAGCATGTCTAGCGCCTACCTGCTGTAGTCCGTCTCCTCCTTCATCTTCTCGATGCTGTGCCTCAGGAGGCTGTTCTCGCGCTCGGTCACGGCCAGCTCCTTGGTCACCTCGGCCAGCTCCTCCTCCTGCTCCTCAATCACCTTCTGCGAGGCGCTGAGCTGCTCCGCACGCCTCTCCAGCAGCTGCTCCTTCTTCCGCAGCTCCACCTGGGGGGACAGCACAGCTTACACAGCTGCTGCCAAAGTCCACTGCTTTCCTACAGGGAGTCTCTAGGGGAGAGTGTCCACACAGTGCCTGGAACTCCACTGCTTTCCTACAGGGAGTCTCTAGGGGAGAGTGTCCACACAGTGCCTGGAGCTCCACTGCTTTCCTACAGGGAGTCTCTAGGGGAGAGTGTCCACACAGTGCCAAATACCTCAAGAAGAAAAGGGTAGCAAACGACATGAGTTGAAATTACTATTTTAAAAAACCAAAGCAAAATAAATATTGTACTGCTAATGGCCTCTGAGTGAAACGCAGGTTGGGTCCTATTTTCCCAAGATCACTGGATCAGGCCTGGGCCGTGAACAGGATGCCTCAGCACTGAGCTCAGTGACTGCCGGGTGGCTGTGAGCCTTGTGTCGACAGCTGGAAGCTTGGCTAGCAATCCGTTGGAAAAGAAACAAGCTGAGGCTCATTCCACACCACAAGGCTGAAAGAAACCATGAAATGCACCAAGCTTCAGCTGGGCAGCCTCTCCAGGGATGTTCTCCTCTGCTTTTCTGAGAAGAGCCCCTAATAAAACTCTATGTCCTTACTGCCTTTGGGGGTGGAATTAATCGCTACATGTTCATTTGCACACCTCCCGACTCAAGCCTGTCAATTGGACAGCTCAACACTGCTGTGGGTTTGCTCAGTGAAGGAAATATCAGCCCCAGGGGCGCGGCGTGCACACGCAGGGGCTGACCTCGCTCTTCAGGCTGCCGACCTCGTTCATGAGGCTGTCGATCTTCCTCTCGTACTGGCTGATGCGGCCGTGCAGGGCCTCCTCCTCGTCGGTGGAGAGGTCGGCCAGCCGCAGCGCCGCCTGCCCGGGCTCGGGCTCCGCGGCCGGGGTGATCTCCAGGCGGTGCGTGGGCCCCTGAGAGACACGAGCCGCACGAGAGCTACTGCGCTGGGGACCCCTGACTGCACCCTGGGGGCCCCCAGGTGGAACACAAGCACAGGGGTGCAGCCATGAAGGTACACAAACACTTGGCAATTTCTAAACATCCTTATGATAGACAGAAATCCCTAAAAAAGCATAAGGAACATTTTGCTGACCATGCCTTCTGATTAACGCACAGACGTGCTGGAGAGACATCACATGTAAAGGGGAGCTGCAGCTCTGTTTTCGTATTTCAGGGTGAGAAAGAAACAGCACTGATGAGGGCATTTCAAACCACAGCTGAAGCAAAATGTGCACAGTAACGGGTAAAACCTCCAATTTACACCACAAAACAGCTGAAGCGACAGACCCCTTTACCGCGCATCGAAAGGCACTAAGACCCCTGCCGCTGACCTCCCACTTGTAGGCGGACTCCCGGAGAGAGCCTTTCCCCGGGGGGATCCAGGGCACCCGGGTCTTCACCCGGGCCGTCGCCCGCAGGTTCCCCGCATCCTTCTTCGTCTGCGCCTCCTGAATCTTCAGCTGCCCAAAAAAAAACAACCAGCCATCACCCGCCGTCACAGGACAGCTGACACGCTGCAGTTCCGTGGCTGAGCAATAGACAACAACAGAAACGACTTTGTCTGGGCTGTCCGTTCCCAGGCTCGGGTGACCAGAGTCTTACCTCACTCTGGGGTTGGGAGGCGAATCCCACCTAGAGCAATTTACTCACAAGTAAGCTGAGCTTGAAATGTCCTGCTATCACGCTGCAAAGGAACAAGTACAGGTTTATTCCTGCTAAAAAGAGAAGAAAAGAAACACAACGTTGTGGCTGTGCAGCCTCCTTCGGTTGAGCCTCCACAGCTGACGTGTTGTTTTTCTTTTCAGCTGGGAATAAACCTGTACCGGTTCCTGACGCAGCTCCCTACTCGAACCACTTCTGCTACTATGTTGTTTGGGCTTTTCACACCAGGACCCACGGCCTTTAAAAGCCGTCCGGGTCCGAGACCGGAGGGCCAGGGGAGTCTTCTCCGAGCCCCCGGAACGGCACCCACCTGGGCAGCCTTGGAGGGCGAGGTCTTCGGGCACTTCCTGACGTGCACGTGCACGGGGGTGCTGTCATCCACGTGGACGTGCAGCGGCGGGGAGGAGGAGCGCGTCTTCATCGCCCTTCTCTGGGGGGGACACCAGCAGACGGAGTGAGTGCGTCTTCAACACCTCTCCACATGCAGACTCAGCCCCCGAGCTCAGAAAGTCTTTTTCTCTCCTGCACAGAGAGAGGCTGCAGCCAACACAATCTCAGCAGTGCCGGAGAGTTCGGACATTAAAGGTAAAGATTCAGAAAGGATTCTAAAAATTATTGCTCTTGTTGTAGTTCTTTCAATGATGCATCACAGGCAATTGTACCTAAATGTCATATTGTAATAAAGCAGAATGATCTCAGAAGGCTGTGGACGTGAAATAAGAGACATAGGACTTCATAGGGTACCGATAGAGTAGCACATCGAATGAATAAAAGAAATTGTGATCATTAATCACGATTAAAGAATTTACACCCAAAATGTGAATTCATAGGAAACTGTTTCTGTTGTGGGAGTCAGGCAGTGCCTGAACGATGATGGACTTCTAGAATTCAAGGTGGGGGAATCAACATAAAACTTAGTTTACAAACTCAAAGTTCCTGTCCTAGAAGGGGTGAGTTAAAACTACCCTCAAATTTACAGGATTAGTCCTCAATCCATGAATACAGCGCTCAACTTGAACAATCACTGACTGTCCTCGCTGGAGAAAGGAGATACTGAAAACAGGAGTTGGCGGTTCGTGTAGGTGATTATAAACCAAACTAGTGGGCTAAATAACAACTGACAGTCTGGCTCTCATTCCTGCGATGTTCTGACTGGCAAACCCTGAGCGCTGCTTCATTCTGGAAAGTCGGGTCTTGCCCTCGGCTGTGTTAACACACTGCCAAACACACACTTCTGAGCTGCAGAGACGAGTTTCGGGAGTTTCTCCAGCGGTCGCCTTTAAAGCAGCGACATCACGAGTCTGAGAAGGAAATGAAAGAGCCTTTGTCTTGAGATGAAATCAGTACAGGATGTCATTCCCCTAAAATAGCTACTCGCTTACAAACTCTGTGACTGAATGGCGAATTAACAAAACATATTTTGACAACACCAGCTAACGTTCAGGAAACAACACTACGCCGGTTGCGGTGCGATAAGACACCAGGCACCCAAGCAGTCTATCAGTTCCACATTTCATGCAGCTGCACAGTCGACAGCTACACTGCATTAATGATCATTTGCAAACACCGGCACCGAATTTAACACAAACAGCAGGTCGTCAGCAGCATCAGATCTGGCGGCTTCCCCTACAGATGAAACGTGTCAGATGTTTTTAAATTTTAAATAAAAAAAAAACGTTATTTGGGTTTTTGTGCTGACCATTCATGCGAGGCACAAGAATATACCTTGCACGGCAATACACTAGACAGAACACGCGTTAGAACAACAGTAAACGTGCACTTCTTACCATACGACAACGAATTAATACCGTAATTTACAGTTATGAGCAATAATTTGAGCGGAGCCCCCTCGCCTCTCAGTGCAGAACAACCGCTTGCCAACGCGCTCTTCCGGCACGCTCCCTCGCCGCCAAGCCATTGGCTCATTCAAATCTATTTAAGAGCTTCGCCGGGCGCTGATTGGACGAAACGCTTGACCCAGGAAACCCTATCCTAGTGTTGCCGGTGGCAACTGTGGGCTGCCCCCGTCGTCCTGGTAACCAAGCCTAACACTCTTGCAGCCGAGCAGGCAGGCGGTTCCGTGGACCCACGCGTTCCCATGGGGCTTTGCAGCGGTGTACCAACCCCGATTCAATACCCACCCCTAGGGCAAGACAGGAACGCTATGCCAAACACCCCCCCTTTATTTTATTCACGGTCTGTAATTCTCAGGTGGTCGCATGCACTGACTGCACTTTCCCAACTGTCTGGGTAGTGAGGGAAACCTCCTACCTGCTCCCTTACAGCAACCCCTGAGAGCTGAGTCTGTACCCCCAGGATTAAGTGCTGGAAATAATGTGGGCAAATCCTATTAAAGGAAAGAAGCTGTTCAAATCGCGAGTTGGGAGCTCCACCAGAAGGGGCTGTAGCTCAAGCTGAGGCACTACAACAGACGGTAACAAGAGACAATGTTTCAGCAGCTTTATTTAGCACTTCTACACAGCAATGTCATTTTTAAGATTTCCTTTTGGAACTGTTACAGGGTTAAGGCAGTTCTGTACCAACTGTTTCACCTGAATTGTCTTTCAGTACCTTCCAGCCTCCCACTTCCACTAGCTTAGTGTGCTGAGCACCCTGAAAAAATGCATAAGACTCTGTAGGCAACCGGGACCTGCACAGAGTTTTAGCTGTGCTAACGGTCAGTTGTAAGCCATGGAACAGCTCGTAATTAACAAGTTCCCCAGGAATCGTTTACGAAGTATGGAGCTGAAAAATAATCTTCGCCCCTCCTTCTTTTCGATTAATCCATGCCCCCTGGAAAGCATGGACAGGCGACTTGCAGCGGGGAACTCTGCATTGCATTTGCACAAAAAAAAAAATCACTACAACCAGTCCCTATCCCCCACAGCAGCAACGAGAACGGGACAGTTATATGAATAAAGAAATAACTTGCATTTTTCTTTGTGAGGGGTGGTACATCACCCTAGCTCTCACAACAGACTCCGGGATTTGACAAAACACAAGCCCCCATGTTTGCTACTACAGTACTTTAACCTGAGCCTGTTCAAAACTGAAAAGCAGAGGTAGACCGGGCCTGCATTTCATAAAAGAGCGTGTTAAGCTGTTACTCTTAAATCACCGAGTTCTCCCTGTCACTCTTGAAGTGCTCCTTTGTACTGAAACAGAGCCCAGGAGCCACTGCGGTACAATTCCTTTGCCAGAAGAAGTATGCTCATCTCACTTGACAAAAATCGACATTTGTTTTATTTCTTTGAAAGTGCTAGAGAAGAGCAAGTGCACAACTCTGGCGTGTAGACCTTCCCCACTCTCCCTCCCATTACACCACACAAGGAGACAGGGGCAAAGTGGTGCATTTCAGTAAGGGACCAAGGGAATTGATAGTGTGCTGGGGACTGGGGGCTGCTACTGGCTCTAGAGGTCTACAGGTCCCCGTGCTGGGGAGGAAGAAGCAGTATTGTACGCACAGCAAAGCAGGGGGGTGTTTTTACCCTGGAAAAAAAAAATCACAATGCATAGTGAAGTCCCTAAATGTGTGGTGGATCAGTAAAACTCTTCAACCGTTTGGCTTCTCGCACACTCGTCTCGTCAACGATACAGCGATACAGGAAAACCCTTAAGTGCTTTCAGGGGCTGTCATGGAACCAGAAGGGTGGTCCCCGGTGCAGATCCAAGTCCCAGGTCCGCCGGAGAAGCGGCGGACGTCCCGCCAGTGCAGTTTTTAAAATAGAGGAGGTAACGCTGTATTCCCGAGCAGCTCCCGCTTGGCGTTCCCAGAGCAAGGAGTCCGCTCCGCCCTCCTCTATCCTAGAAACCGGCAGGGGAGGGCGTCACTGCCGGCCCAGGTGCTGCTGGGTGGCCAGCTCCATGCGCCGGTACCAGGCCCGCACCTTGGTGTTGCTCATCATGTCGTCAAACGCCTGCAGCCCCTCCATCACCCGCAGGACACCAAACACGGCCTGCAGCCGGGGAGAAAGAGCAGGGATGAGCCTCTGGCATGGCGCAGCGACACTCCAGAGGGAAGAGGCCTGTGCCAGACACTCATGGCACGGATCACACAGAGCTCAAGGACGTCGAGAGATCTGGCTTGATAGCCAAATATTACTTGGTACCCCCACCCCTGCAGTTCTGTAATGCTGCACAGAAGCATTAAAAAAAAAAACACGTGATCATATTCATAAACAGCCTGTAGTTATAACTATTTTGCACAATGAAATCCCCAATTTACTTAAAAAAATTCTGCTCATAAACCTCAGATTGACCTTGGAAAATTTATAACGCATAACATCACGATTGAAAAGCAGCAATCGGGAAGATATTAAGCACTACGAATGGAAGATAATTCTGACCAATGAGCGTCAAAGTCTGAGTATCTTCATTTATTAAACAAAACAAACAAATGAAACAGCGTGGGTTCTACAGCAGATGGAAGCCTTACCAGATCGGCCAGATTGGGCTGATCGCCACCCATAAATTCCCTCTTCTTCCCAATCGCAGCCACCCACTCATTCACCGCCTTGTACAGATCCTGCCTGACATCGTCTTGTAGGTTGTGCCTGGGAATTAAAGGGTTAAAAGGGGGGGGACAAGTGTGAACTGATGTGAAGACGCAGGTAAAGAACAGATCTCGGAGAGCAGGCACCTCCAAAACCTCGGCAGCAGTGAGGGCAGCCCACCCTACAGCACTGTTATAACGGGAACACGCGCGTCCTACTGGACACCAGGAGACCCAGCAGCAGCAGTCAAGGATCCGCCCACCTGCTCTTCAGCCTCTTTCCGATGACGTACATGGCGGCCGCGCCCACGTACTTGGCGAAGAAGCCCTCGAGGGGGCCGAACTTGCCCTCGCGCACGATGTAGTCGAAGGAGGCCAGGGACTCGCGGGGCGTGCGGTATACGTTGGGCGAGATGAGGTGGACCAGCAGGTCATCCGCCCAGCAACGCCACTTCATCTCCTCCCTGGGGGGGGGGGCAGAGCCATGGGAATTAGGGGGCCGCAGCCAACTCCAGGACCGCTCCACTGGACGCGATACTTCAGTTACTTAAAAGGGGGTCTGCAGTCCCCCTTTCTCAGACCGCCTATTAAATCTCAGTCACAAAAATAATTTGTTGACAGCACAGAAACGTTTTACAGATTTAGAATTAAGCACAAAATCGTGGACTTTGTGGAAGTACTGTAAATCGCCATGTTGTTCAGAACCCTGTTCTCGCCATCACTGCAAAGAGCCGCACGAGTGAATGAGTACAGGCTGTGCAGCAGATATTTCACCACGGAAAGAAACACAGATTCCCCTTTAATTGTCCCCAACCTTGCCTATCAAGCAAATAGTTAAGGATTAGCCTGAATTAGCCATCACATTTACCAACTCCTGGAGAGGAACCTTTAAAATGCCCATCAGTCACCTTTATTTTATACTGGCATCTGAACTAAAACAGCCTACATGTGCCGATCCGATATACCTACTCTCATCAGCAAATACACCGCAAGCACCATGTTATAACATTTACATTCGGTTGAAACTGCGATGGGAAATGGGCACTGAACAGCAGTGGTCACATCTGATGGCAAAAGAGTCAAGTCCTTTGAGTGGAATACATCTTACTAGAGATTACAAAGCAGGGCAAAGCATGATACACCTACTTCCTGGAGTCCTTGACTGGGTACACTTGCACAGTCTCCTGCTCTGTCAGCATGACCCAGTACTTGTTGTTGTACTCCACCACCTCCTTCCCCTTCTCATTCTTGGATCGCATCTCCGGGTAATAGGAGATGATCTGCTGCATCGTCTTATCCCTGCCGCAGACGGGGAAAGGGATGTCAGGAGTCAGGAAAGAGACCGGCACCACTCTCGGAGCACTCGAGTCAGGGCGAAGAGGGATCTGCACGGTCTTACCTGGAGATCATGTAGGTCTTCAAGGCGCTAATTATAACAGAGGAGTCGTTGAGTTGCTGAGAGAGAGACAGAGAGGTATTATACCATCTTCCTTCAGGATATGCAATTCTAAGCACCAGGTTTCATTATTCAGGATGAGCACGTCTTATTTTAAAGATAAGTGGTTAATAAATACTGGAGGGGTTTTTGGATTGAACCCACACTATCTACCATGATCTGGATCAGCGACTCTAAAATCAATGGTGGTGCTTGTAGGCTGACTCCTCTGAAGGCCAGGCACACCTACAATTAAAGGAGCTGAAGCTGCAATACGGGTCATATGGCTGGGACTGCAACAGGACTCCTGCAGACGGGCACTTTAAAAGCAAGGGCCCAAACTCTTACTCTTCACTGGACACACAATTACCCTAGAAATCAATCAATAAGGCTTGTTCATAATACTGTACGACTGTGTTCACCCAGACAGATTGTTGAGCTGACCTTAAACTCCAAGACTTAAAAAAAGTGTAAATTCGGCACCTTCAGTGAGATGAGATTCAACACTTTAGGCCTTTGCGTTGTAACTGTGTAATGCTCATCAGCTCTTCACTAATCCCACCAACGATCAGATCTATACAGCCAAACAATCTCACAGTGTTAATCTGGTCGAAATCAATCCAGTTCCAGTTTTATGGCTACAGGATCTGTTACCTTGCAGAATCCCACTTAATGGGCATGAACAACAATAAAAAAAAAACATTAAAATCGGTGTTTCAGTAACCATCCTGAAACACCAGAGCAAGAGACACCCCGTGCTAGTTTTAGACAAACTCGTTCTGTTCTCACCAGAATCTCCCCCATGTCCACCAGCACGATGGGCACCTTCCTGTACTCCGAGAACTTGATTTCTTTCCGCAGGACAGGGTTGACCTCCACAACCTCATAAGGCAGCCCATAGTAGTCCAGGAAGGCTCGGACCTTGCTGCAGAACGGACAGGTCTTGTACTGGTACAGAGTGAGGCGTAGATTCCCGCTCTCCACCTAAGGGAAGGAGAAGGGCGACTGTGAGATGGGCTGGGATCTCAGACAGGAGCGAAGTATTCAGGGTTCTGGAGTTAAGCGGCGTCTACTTTGTAACGCTCTGTTTACTTGTGCGAATGAGAGCTGTTATTGCCTTAAAACGACAAAAACACAACTTCGTTTTATACACCAGTAAGCTTGAGAAACGCTTTAAAAAAAAAAGGGCAGATCGGCAGCCTACCCGTGTTGTCTGCTGTTGTGCAAACTGGTGCTGAAAGGACAGCTTGACCGTGTGGTACAAACCCAAACCACCTCCGAGCAAGAAGGCACATCCCAGCACCCTGCCTCCGCCTCCTCGGACCGGGGCAGCGCCGAACAGCTTGGACCGGAACCCAGCGCCCCCGGTTCCGTACGCTCTGCAGGGTCCTGGCAGGGCAGCGCGAGAAAACACCGAGATTCCGGGCCGACCCAGGACCCTCATGCAGGAGGCTGCCATCTTGCTTTTACATAAACCGCCCCACAATGCCCTTCGAAAATAAAGCAACTCGATTGGAGGTGGGCTTGTCCAATCAGAAGCGCGCTCCGAGAGAGACACGTGTCTTCGGCGAATGATCGTTCTTAGGCGTTGTGGCAATTAAGGAGCGGCGCACTGTGTGAGCTTTTCTGTTGCGGGGCATGTGGAAAAACACATTTAAACGATCAAGAAAACAAAGTACGGTGTCAAGTGGGAGTAGAAACAGCCCATTTAGGAGGAGCGTGCAACAACCGGCAGTCCATGAGATTAAGGCCACAGACTGCTCACCTGAAAGCACGATTCCTGTCATTGCAAATAGGTTGTTCTAACACAGATGTAAGAGCGTAATACTTAAAAACCAGTCGAAGTGCAACATTTTTGCTCTAGATTTCCTATGTTCTCCAATTACGGTAAACTACCTAAACATAAGTAAAGAATATAAAACATTCCTTTGACGTTGCTGTGAGCGTTCAGAACTAATTAAAGGAAATACGAAGCACATTTCTGATTGGTGTGAAAGGATTTTAACACACATTTAATATTTTACCGGTGTGACTGCAGTTTTTCAAGAACTCCTTTTAAGCAGAAACACCTGAAGATCTAGAAGGAGATGTTATATTGGTTCAATTAAACCAATAATGAGTGGAATCAGGTCATTAAGAACCCAGCTGGACAGAAAGTTTGCTGAGACCAACAACAGGACTGAGGATCCCTGCTCAGCAATGTGAAATATGCAAGACCACTTACACACAAGTCATTTAAATCTCTTTATAACCAGTTTTAACTGATTCAGTTACAGCAAAGCACTGAGAATAAAAGCAACATTCTTATTTAAAGCAGCAGAAACCCAAACATATCATTTTTTTCAAGGATTATGGTGCTTTTTACATTCAATTTTTTACATCAAAAGTAAAAACAGCTACTCAGTTTTTTTTCTTTCCAGCTCAGATGTTTCAAGAGAAAAAAAAATCCTCTTAAATCTGAGAAAGTTCTATTTAAAAATACAAATATCAAACCACAGACTCCAACTGGACAAATTAAGATTGGATGTGCATGGTTTTCATCTTCATTTCAGTATTTGGATTTCAGTGGAAGTGAGATGTTACAGGATCAGCAGAAAACACACTCTTCTTCAAATGGATATATGATATCAAAATACTGTGATCAAGCAGTTTTGTACAGAAAGCTCTCGCTACTAAAATCATTTTAACTGATTATATTATGCTTTTTCCTAAAGCTAATAAGATAATAAAAATCCCTAAATAAAAGGGTGGAAAGATGGGCACAGATATCCATGTTGCAGAGTCACAAACTGTCACGAATCCCCTACCTCTCTCACATGTGTTAACATTATCCCGTTACAATTGAAGATTAAAGGGTTCTTTTTTTTCCTTAAAAAAAGTAGTCTAACGCCACTGACTACTGCATAAGAAATACATTTAAAAAACGCTCATATGGAATTGTGTGTGGTCCAGGCTGACCCTGAATCATTAAAAAGTGTTGATGGTTCATCTCCTCCAGGAAAACATATCTTGCCATGAGTGGACAACATATACATTCCCCAACCCCTCGGGCCAATAGATTTGGTAAGCAACAGCGCAACACCTTAGAGCACTCTCTGCTGTAAGAAATCACCTCGACAAATGTGACAGACCATTCCATCAATGCATTCCAGCACTTCCCTGCTCCACACACATCTTCGCCCTCTGATGCTTCGCCAAGCGCTCATGGGACGGATTACATGTAATTGGAGCCACAGCCGAAGGACTGACTTGGATTCACCCCTGGTTTTCCGACACCATGTGGCGTCGCCATGCGAGTCTCCGAACTCGCGGTGACGCTATATTTGGACTTAACCTTCAACCTGACTTTAAATGATGCCAATAGAAAGTGGAAGGAAAGGCCTTGATTTTATTGTGGAAGTACTATACACTCCTGAACGTTTTTCAAGTGGCCCTGTATAAGCCAGCTGTTTTAAGACTAGAAGTCTGATTTCGAGTTGCAGGCCTTCTGGTGAGATCCCGGGCATTCACTCATTTCATCTTGGAAACTGAAGCGGGGCACGTTTCAGTCCCAAGTTCAAGAAGTCCTTCCTCCGATTCAGCGCATCGCTGTTGTACCTGAACCACCATGACTTAATTTGTAGCTGAAGAAGGGCGGATCAGTAGAGAGAGAAAGACTGAATTTTGATTTAACCATTGCTGTGACGCTTTAAAACCAGTTATTACACCAGATCTCATCCTGATCACCACTAGCCATGTTCATACCAAAAACGAATAATCATTGCTTGCGTTTGCAGAGGATCCCAGAACACTTTAGACATCGAGGGGATCCACTGCTTCAACAGCTTGGTTACATGAGGCCCTTCTACAAAGCAGATCCAGATAAGGAGTGAGAAAGTGCTCCACTAATTAAAGTAAGGGGTGTTTAGGGGGGCTATTTATAGGGCCTTTTCCCTCTCTGAAATTACTACCTTTGTTTAAAATTAGGTGCATTTGCTATAAAGTAAAGAAAACACAAAAGCCCCTCAATACTTAAGAAACGTCTGATGCATGGAATAGCTGATAACTGACAGAGGAAATATGGGATTAACATTCAGTTTTCTGGTCAGTTTTTCCAAGACATTTATTTCATCGATGTAAACTGCTACATGAAGGCATGGCAAATGAGACTAAACGTCAGTTATGATATTGCGAACGAACCAACAGAGATCATAAAGAAATCACCCACACCCAGTAACTAGTCTGTGCAATATTTCCCCAAAGTGTGTAACACATGGAAAAATAATTTGTTAATGTAATAACATTTTTTCAGGTACCCCAAATAATAGCAATTTAAGTGAACAGAAATGCAGTCATATTCACTTTATACCTTGTACAACTATTTAGTTTTTGTTACTGTCAACACCCAGCATAACAGAGTGAAAGTTCAGGTATTTTTTCTTGTTCGGGAAACATTTACCTGGATACTCTTGGATGCAATACCAATGTGCAATAGACCAGGTGCAGAGAAACGCAATTCAAAGTGCAATCTGTCCCAGTTTCTGATGGAGAAAAAACAGACTAGATAATCCACACCCTTTCAGTTCTATTGCTCGTGCTTTTAGTGTCCTGGCATTTTTCATCTATGTTCTTGCCTGATTGGGCTGCAACTTTTTTTTTGGGGGTGAGGGGGGGGGAGATTTTTCTTCTCATCCACATGCCTTTGAAAAAAATCTAGTGGAAAACTCTGATTTTTATCTGTCTGGCCACCCAGACGTCCTCATCAGTCCCTCTGTATCCCCTGCGGAGCCGTGCTGCAACCAGAATCAGACACTGTTACACCAGGGGGCATTGAAATAAGCTTTGTTTTTAAGCTCATTAAACATGTTTCCAATATTTCCATCTTTAGTTAAGGGCACAAGACTGAGTGAATTCTCCATAAGCTGTATCGTAAAACACCTTTTCCACCCTATAACTAGGAAGAGCCATGTAGGTATCCCGGGAAATGCACATGGGTTCAGCAGTTCCACACATACTGTAGTATCGGAACTCATCCCAGCCCTCACTCCCTGCTGGGTAATAGCTATGGAGAACAGTAAAATTTAAAGTGAGCTTGAAGCACAAGGTTTTTAGAACTTCTCTGTTGAGATGCTACAGTCAAATGACTGGTTTTAGCCATTTTCAAATCAGCTCTAAACTGGAAGCAGCTGTAAATCGAGGCAACGCACAACACCAGATCATTTTCAAAGAGTAGATGAATCTAATGCTGCATCTGCGGAGGCCAGCCCGAGCCCTGGAGAGCCCCGGCCTTGCAGACGTCGCAAGTCTCTTTAAACCACCCACCTCCATCTTAACACCTGCACATCACTTTTCACGTCTTCAGGCCACAAAATAATCCCAAATTCATACTGCTTCTTCCAATCCAGGGTCACAGGGGAGCTGGAGCCTATTCCAGCAAACAACAGGCGCAAGGCAGGGTACCCCCTGGAGGGGACGCCAGGCCATCACACAGACTTCTCCCAGAAGCCAATTAACCTACCAGGACTTTTTGTGGACTGTGGGAAGAAACTGGAGAACCCAGGGGAAACCCACAGACAGTACCCCACTGGAGCCCCAGTGGTACAAGACAGCAAGGCTAAGCGCTGAGCTACCGTGCCGCCCTTACGAAATCATTTTCAATTCAATTAAGCATATAAAGTGGTAACAGTTAGACTACGATCCTCGGGGACCGGGACTCATCCCCAGTGTGCTTGATGCCCTTGGTGTAGGATTAGATAACTGCAGTGTAATCTCATCAAGGTGGTTTGCAAAAAAAAAAAAATGAAGCTCCAAGAGACCAAGATCTCAAGATACAGATTTTTGAAAATCCACTCTTACTTTTGTTTAAAACAGTAATAGAATTCCTATTTCACTTTCCGCATATAAATACACTATTATTAAAAAAAAAACAGAAATCAGCTGTAAAATCTTCAATTACAAAAGTGCGATGAGCAAATGTGTTCACAAAACACTTCCAGAGTCTCTATATAGATTTAATACGCCATTGTGGTGGCCTGAATCATTTCATCAGGAGTAAGATTTGCTATCTTTACAAGAAAGGACAATTCTACTTTTGTAGGAGATAACTGTAGGAGTGCTTATAACTATGTCAAAAAAGAACAATTCTGTACATCACAACTGAATATCTTCCTCATGTAGGACAAGCTCTTTCGAATGACTGGGAAGACATTATATCAATCTGAGCTGCTTTCAACCTACTCCCAATCCACACCAGGAGGAAGAAATGAATGAATGCACATAACATGCACGTCTAAAAAGACAAATTTGCAGGTCAGAACTCAGTCCAGGATTTTCCTGATACACAAAATCCATCGTAAGAGCTGCAGTTCATGCTGCACTGAGCCTTCATGGCAGAAATGACAATTCCTGTTCGAAGGAGAAACGCCAAGATTAAAAGAACATGAGTTCAGAGCGTCTCTGGGATTCTCCAAAAAGACTGTTCTTCAAGAGCAGAGCTTATATTGTGGTCATGTACCAAAGACCTCAGGACCAGGAAGGGAAACAGTGGAAGCACATCTTTTTTTTTCCTTATTTTTACAGTAAAAGTAATAAACAACTCCCAAATTTTTTTCTTTATAAAAACAAAGAAAAACCAACTGGAAACAGAAAAAAAAAATACAACCTCATCACTTGTACAAGTAAAGTTTAACCATGTGCAACACAAAAAAGGAAATGACTAAAACACCACACCCCCGTGCATCACACCTCTCCTGCTGGTGTCTCACACTTCAGGTTCCTTCTGGAAACACGGCAGAGAAATCAGAAGTTCCTCAGCTCCCCTGTAGTTACAGTAAATCAAGGCAGACACAGAATGTGGATGAGGAGAAAAAAAGTCTTCTTCTTTTGTCTGCCGGACTGATCCTTTTCCGGCGCCGTGCTCTCGTTGCCACGTTCCTGTTTACCTTGTAGTGTCCATGGGGTCTTCTTTGAAGTTGCCACAGTGCTCCATGACTTTCCTGGAAAGCACCAGAACGGGGAATTGTTACAGGACCCTGCCGATGCTGGTGACTTTACTACATGGCCTGCGGTGGCCTATGACACTTTTGACACCGACCACAGTCCCCAAATGCGGGCTCACCATTTTATTTTTTCAAACCGACCAATTGGAACTTTCAAACGCTTAACAGGCGCAGCGTACAGGCACAACTCCAGGAGTGCACTGGGTGGGTGAGGACTGGTCTTCAACACCCAGTTATCAGAGCCATTCCCCCACCCTGCTGCTTTCTCCCCCACCGCTTCCAGTTCTGGTCGCAGGGGATCTGGAGTCTGTCCCGGCAAGCAACAGGCGCAAGGTGGGTCCGTCGCAGGACAACACGGGTACGCACTGAGCCGCCCACCGAAAAGCCCAAACGACCACCTGCTGACCGCCCTGCTGCCGGTGACATCCAGCCCACTGGCTCGGACCTGCGACACCTGCAGCACAGGGCTTATCCTGCCCTGCGAGTAAGAGTCTTCACCGAGCTAACAGCCCAATAAACAGAATCCAAGCCGTTTCCCGGCTGGCTTCTGCTAGTGCTTGCACAAGCCCTGCGACTGCGGAGAGGTGCGATCTTACCGAGCCATGTCCTTGGTCTCCTCCTGGGCACTGTCCAGGTCCAGAACCTGCTGCAGGAGGTCAATGCCCCCCTCCTTGATCAGCAAGGGGCAGTACTTGCTTGCTGCAGAGACAGAAGGAACCGGGTCAATACAGGGCACCAGCTGTTTTTACGGGTTTAAGGGTTAAACGTTTCTTCGTCAACTTGTTAAAGGCGTCTTACTCAATAATAATTAAAAATAAGTGCTCAATTTCACAGGGTAATCCACCTCAGGCCAGATTATATAACACTAGTATCTGGTCATCAGGATTCATGCAGTGTCTTACTGCAGCTGTTTGCTCCAGTGACGTCATATTGTATGTGTAAGCTCAAAACACAGGGGACATCAAGTATACACTGGAACAGAGCTATTTGTCATCACCAACAAATGGCTACCGCAACAGTCAAAAATCCAAATTTGGTAATGCACTGTGAGAATAGAGAAATGAAATGGCTGCATGCCAGGAGTTGCTTTTTAGCGTGATTAACAGGAGCCAGCTAACGGCTTTGTCTGTAAATCACACAGTCAAAGCTTATGTCATCGTCCTGGCCCCCACTCCACATGCCCACTGATCCAGTGCCAGCCAGACCGGTTTAGAGGGTGACTCCTTCCCATTTAGACGCCCGGTCTAAATAAGGGCCCTCCCCGAGGTGGAAGATCCGAAGCAGTCCGAGGAGAAGCCGGGCGTCTCCCCGCTGGGACGGGACTCACGGTAGACGGAGACGAGGTTGTACAGCGCCCAGGTGGCCCAGTGCTGGCTGACGGGAGCGATGCTCTGGGGCAGGAGGCGCAGAATCGGCTCGAAAGACCTGGGAAGAGAAGCAGGAGGCCTCAGTGGAGCCACACGCCACACCGAGAGGAGCTCTGCTACGTGCAATCCACTCTACATCAAGACCTAGTGCATAACGCCAGAACAGGCCCTTCATGGCTGACACAACGGCAAAGGTGAAAGACAGTGAAACAATAACAGTATTAAACTTGGCATTGAGCCTTTTAACAAGAGCCAGCTAACAGGTTTGTGAAACGGGGTTTCAAATTCCACGCTCCCTGCCATGCTGCTGGCCCCAGACTTGGGTGGACGGGATCGGTTCCCTGCTACCTGTAGTTGATATTCCTGCGAGAGTTGACGTCCCAGCTCTGGATGGCGCTCCACATTCGCTCCATCACCTCGTCTCGGAGGGGCTCCTCCATGGTCCAAACCTCAGGCCCATCGAACATGATGTGGGACAGGACGCCGCAGGCGTTGTACGACACCTCGATCCCATCCGCCTTGCTGTTCAGCAGGTCACTGTGGGCACAGAGAGGCAGACCGGTGGGCAGCGGACCACAATTCTGGACAGGGCTCTAAAGCCGCCCCGCTAACACTCAGGATATTGATCCAACCAGTACCAGGCACTTTGCTCAAAGGTGACTTACAATAACACAGAATCACTCAGAAAGGCCGTCTAATATCTCTGCAGGAGAAAACGCAGCAACGTCCAGCACTTTGCTCAGGGTGACAAAGTTAGTGTCAAAACAGGGGGCTTGAACTGGGAAACATCTGGAGTCCGACTTTCTCCTCGCCACAACTCCACAGTTTTGATTCAATGGTCATTACTCTCGCTGTAAAACATCCTAGACGCGCGAGGACTGAAACTGGACAGCGTGCTGGTGGATTAAAGATAAGGCAGGGAAAAGATGTAAAAAGCCTTCCAATGTGACAGAGAAACACCGGCTGACGTTTTTAACGCACTGGCGATGCCCGCCCCTGGCGGCGGTCGTGTGGGTCACGCTCGAGGGGCCTGCCGGCTTCGCTCACCTGAACACTGTGATGAACTGCGGTGTCAGCAGCTGGGGCCTGAGCGCCTGCACCTCCGCCACGTTGCCCAGCAGCCCCAGCATGTTCCTGTGAAGCTCCTGCTTGTCAGGGAAGGCCTGCGGAACGGGAGGTAAACTTACCGCGGCGTCTGGACTGCACAAGCATGTGTGTGCAACACGTACACAGACAAACAGCGTAAATATGGACGCGGAATTCAGAGGCCTGGCAGATTCTGGAGGGCAGGGATCCATGATAGAATATCGGTTTGCCTGCCTTATTAAGCACATTTATTTGATGGAAAGTCAATTTCTTGGGCACCTGGTACTTCATCTATGTTAATGCTATTTGCCTTGCTCCGAAATTGGAGCAACGGGTTCGGCAGCCAGTCTCCTCCGACAGGCTGCCTGTCAGAAACACTCGTACCTGCTCATGCTGTGACCTCAACGGTGCACTACTGGAGAGTTAGTGCCCGGTGGAGGAGTGTCTCTGACTGATTGTCCCTGCCGTGCCTGGCAAGTTGCAGGACTTGCTAACTGGACAAACCAAAAGTCAACCAATGCCCACTCTACCCTGGCAGAGGCCTTGTTGAGCCCATTGTGCACCTGCCACATGATGAATCCCGCTCACAGCTGGCTAGAGACAAGAACCCTGCTTGAAATCCCCATGTCTAGGGCTCAGCCTGTGATATGTACCAGCACTGGGAATGGTTAAACCCCTGGAGTACCTACTGCAAATATATTATTCTCTAAATCACCATGTCAATTTGAAAATTAAGACTCTTGACCAATAATCCTCCATCCCCACTAACTGCTTAGGTTGAGAACGTCTCATTTTGAAGTCAGAATGTCCATTTGTCTGCTGTCTATGTTTGTTCTCATGCTTTTCCATTCTGTGGGCGGCGAGAGGCGGGCCAACGAAACAGGCGTCGCTGTGTCTCACTTCCAGGCACTCCAGGAAGAGCTTCATGCCGCTGCAGTTGAGGAACATCTCGCAGTTGTCCGGCGTCTCGTCGGTGATGTTCCAGAGCGCGCTCCATGAGAACTCCATCACCTGGTCGCACTGAGGGAGGGCAGACAGTCAGACGCTCAGAGAGCAGAGAGACACGGGGGCGGCCAGCACTGGCAACCTCAGAGAAAGTGGCTCCTGCCTCCCATAAAGCCCCAGGACACAGCCAAGTGAAATCCGGAAAGCCAGGATTTGTCCACGTCTCCGGCACAAATGCCAACAACTTTCCAGGGAAGAACCAAGGTTGTAACTGTGAAGGACTGGGTTTAAAGAATCTGTTATAAACTTAACAGGTGATAACTAAAGATTAAATAAAGTTTCTGCTTTAGGTTAACAGTATAATAACAATAGGAAACAGGGACATGATACTCAGGAACAGTACATTTTGTTTTTCTGCGATAATCACTGAAGTTTCTTTCCTCCATGAATCGGCGCTCAATTCTCAAAACTTTAGGCAAAGAATTACCCTAGGCCTAGTTATTACTTAGAAACAAACATTTAACATGTTATTTGTCTATACATGCGGCCACAAGATACAGGAATTTCTTTGATTCATCTGTGTATTTTGTTAATACTATCAAACTGAGAGCTTTACATCAGTCACAGGAAAGGGAATTACCTATCGCTTTTTTGTTTGCAATTTGGCCTTAGAAAGCTGTGCAGTCATTTGAAAAAAAAATGTGTTACTTAGCCTTAGCTTTAAAAACATTCCCGATAAAGCTCATTTAATAGAAAGACAGACTTAAAGTCAGTATATTAATATTTATTATTGATATTATTAATAATGTTACTAACGGAGATCTGGCCAAAATAGAAGGACAGAAGGAACACTCACCATCTTGTCGCAGAGTTTTCGCTGAATCAGTTGCAACATTGTCTGTGAAGAGAGATAAGGAACTAGTTGGGCACTAAAATCGAGGTTCCTGGTTTATAGTGAAAATAAGTATACTGCGTACAGCAGCTCACAATCAAGTCAGATACCAAAATACCGCTCACTGGAAAGTTTATTTAGGATTGTTGTGTAATCAAAGCAAGTTAACTCAAAAAAAGAACAAAAGAGGTTTACCAAACATGGAAAAAGGTCTTTGGAATCTGTCATTTAAAACCTTTTTCTTTATCTTTCCTTTCTGTAACATTTGCATGATGACTATGGTGTAAAGGAAGAGGAGCTCAAATTGCAGGACCATATATTCTGCTCCACCGCAGGTTAATTCTGGGCTTGTTTGCTCAAACTGCTTAATTTAAAGTATTAATGCTGAATATTCACTTTCTGCATGGTATTAATACCTTGTGCAGTTTGCTTACTTTATCAGATTTCAGAGACCAATCCTTTAGAATGAAGAAAGTTGTAATAATAAGAACTGGTCAGAGGTTAGAGTGTGGTTGCATTAGATAAATACGTTTTCTTTGGGCTAGGTTATACACCAAAGGGAGTCTTAGAACAGAGCTGCTTATTGACACGACCTTTTGACGACTATTTGATGAGCTGTGTCAACATGCAAGCTAAAATGAAACAAGCAGATACAGTATTTATTCCTGGAAGAAAAGTAAGAAGAGAAAAATGTAAAGAAGGCTCCGTAGGCAAAACATTGTGTTTCTTTACTTCTCTTTTCAGCACGGAATAAACCTTTACTTCTTCCCTTATAGCCCCAAAACTGTGTTATTTTTTTCTTTTGCCTCTCCAGCATGAAATCTTGTTCCTTACTACTTATTTTATTGCTTGATAAAGGAGGATTTTCTGTCTGAACTACGTTACCCAGAAAGCTATGGTGTATTAATTGTCTGCCCTCTCCGATGACATGATACGGGAGACACAAACAGCACCAGGTGATCAACAGAAATAAGGGAACGGAGTGGTTTTACAGTCCAGCTCCTGGGCTGCGGTCGCGGGGCATTACCGTGACGAAGCCCATCTTGCCCACAGCCTCCTTGTGGTCGTTGTCGACCTGGCAGACCAGCGCGTTGCAGAGGTGCACGGCGATGCGCTGGATGGACTCGTCGTCCCGCGAGGAGTTGAGGATCTTGAGCAGCAGCTGGTTGACGCGGCGATACTGGAACTCCAGCTCTTCCGGGATGCTGAAGTTGCAGAGCGTCAGGCAGCAGTTCCTCTGCACCTGCACCAGGGGGAGACAAAGCACACGGGCGCTGAGCGCTAACCCGGGCGGCATGGCTGCCACCCTCTCTGCACATCTCCACATCCGCGCGCGAACACAGCCAGCCCTTCCCTGGTCGTCCTGACTCCTCCAGGTCACAGAAAAATGCCTTTAAGTACCTCTCAACTGAAATAAAGACATTTGCTGTTTCATTTAGTTTGATTGATATTTTGATCATTTAAGATTTATCCAAACGCAGGGAGAACATACAAACTCCACGCAGACCACACCCCAGGAACTGAAGCCAGGACCCCAGCGCTGCGAGGCAGCGACGCCAACACCTGCATCATCGTGCTGTCACACCGACAGCGCAGCCCTCCGCTTACCGTCACCTCCTGGTAGTGCTCCATGCCGTTGAGCACCACCTGGATGACCTGGCGGCGCAGCCGGACGCTCTGGTCCATGCGGTACTCGGTGTTGGTCAGGTAGAACAGCGCGGCGCTGCCCGTCACCTGGATGCTCTTGTCGTACTTGTGACACCTGAGGGCGGAGATCACCAGCTGCGGGGACACAAGGGGGCGAGAGGCCTGAGACTTCCCTTCCTTTTCTCTGGGGCTACTGGAGCCATGTGAAGAGTCACCCTGTGCTCCTCGCCAGGTTTTTTTTTCCGTTTGAAGAAACGCTTTGTCGGCAGGATGGACCACTAACGTGTACGGGAAGGAAAATAAGGAACAGGCAGAGGTTCCTTCCATGATGAAAGGTACAGGACAGAAACACAGTGTTTTGTCTGCAGAGCCCCCTTCAGGCGTGTGAAGAAGGATCCACAGCTGAAACGCTGGGTTTCTTTTCTTTATCTTTCAGCCGGGAAGAAACTTTTACCTGTTCCTTTGCAGCCTGTGCTTGCTGGCGCAGTGCCCTACTCAAACGTTTTCAGGGGATGAATATGTTAGTGCTGGGATATTAAGTAAACAACAGAAAACTGTGAAGTCAATTCTTGGACTGATTACTTAGACATCTAAAACGGCATTATTGATATAAAATATTGACACTAGAGAATCGCACCAGGAAGCCCAAACCTGTTAAACTGGGACACACTAGTCTTTTGTTTGCATTGCTACTGCACGAAGATTAAATACATCGCAAGTTTGCTGTTGTTTGTGTTGCAATGCCTGCCTCTGTGAAATATGTTTAAAAACATTTAAATGGCAGGTTAAACAGAACAGTTATCTGACGGAGGGGACACCACATATTCAGTAATAAAACATGTGTATGTAAAGATGCTGTCTTATCAGCGTAAAATCTAAATTTTACCTCTTTTTTTTTTTCCAGAAACTCTCTGGACATCACGACCACCCTTGATTTCAGGCGATTACCAAAAAAAAGCTTAACTGAAATCTGTTAAAATCTTATCTGAATCTTACTTTAACAGTCTTAACTGCATTATGAGGCAATTCCGTCTTTTTTTTGCTTAGTCTCACTGTAGCAACCTGTGATTATGTTATTAAACGTGCACATTGCGTGCACTGTAGCCTGCACAGCGCTGGATGCATCAGTGCACCCTAAGGGAGGTGATGGAGCGGTTGTGTTGCAGGGGGAGAGGCCTTGCTCACTGGGATTTGCCTTGGGCACCAACCCCTCCCTAAGGATGACTACGAGATGGGCCTGGACTTTCACCTGGAGTGCCCTGAGTAGCTGGCTGCAGTGCTGTATCCTGGCGATGTCGAAGAGATGGTTGATCGCTCGCGACGCCACCTCCGGCCGGTATTCTGTGTAGGCCTCAATAGCGTTGAGAATCTGGTCTTCGTTTTTCGCACCAGTGACCTGAGAAACCAAGAAAGGCCAACTGCTGTACCAACAGGCTATAACTCACACCCCTTCCTGAAGGGAATCTCTTCCTCTTGCAGACGAAGGGAAGTGACGTTTTTAGCTGGAACCAAGGGATTTGATTCAGCTATTTGAAATCTTGGAAAGAAAGTATTAATAATGATTTCTTGCTGAAAAGAGAAGAAAGAAAACAACGTTTCGGCTGTGGAGCCTTCTTCGGGTGTAAGCAACTTCTTTCTTCTCTTTTCAGCCAGGAATAAACCTTTTACTTGTGCCTTTGCAGCCTGCGCCTGCTGACGCAGCTCCCCACCCGAACTACTTGATAATCATTTTATTTTCTTCCAGTGCCTTTAATAAGAACATATCGAAGAGCCTCATACGCTACCAAGTGAAATCCACCGTGAAAGAGTCAGAAAGATGAGGAGCCGGATCCCGCAGTACCTTATAGGCTGGAATGTGCGTCAGGTTGCAGAGAGTGGTGTCCAGCAGGCCCAGGAACTGCAGAGGTCTCTTCAGCTCCCGAAGCGGGTAGATACTGCTCTTGGACGGCTCGATGCTGAAAGAGCAACAGCCCGGTCAAGCGCACGCCCGGGGGCACGGGTGGAACTGGCAGGACTCTTTAAATCTCAGTGCTGCTGCTGCCCGGGCTCCACGGCGCCACATTCAAGGACAAACAGCCTTACTGAACAAGATATTCAGTAATGCCATTCAGAATCCAGAGGCCGGTAGTACAGTAAGTCCGACTAATTTGCTACAGACACATTGTATATCATCACCATCTATGAGGAAGAGCAGCGATCCCGACACTGACCCCTGTGGGACCCCAGTTAGCACACTGCCCAGCCTAGACCTCTAAGGCCTCTCTTCTTGCTGGTACTCTGGGCGGCGGCCCGCGCCAAGGCCAGTTTTCACTCCGTCTGCACGGGGCACCACCGATTCTCTCACTTTAGAAATGAGTCTCACGTGAGAATCCAGGTTTTCAGACACTTTGTGCTGTAACCATTACGAAAGGCTCTTGCCACTTCTTCAAAAAAGAAACCTACATTCGATCTGCCGGATTTGCCTCTGCCCATGCCGGCAACTCCGAGCAGATAAAACAAATTTCACCAACACGCCCCCAGACCCGCGGACTCCGCTATTTCGCGCGCTCAGTTACTAAAAAACGAGACGGGCCCTCCCAGCTGCACCCCTCGAGTCGGAGACGGGATCACCCACCTGGGACGCCCCATAGCTTCCTCGGAATGAGGAACGGCACAGTTGTCCTGCATGACGTGGCCGGAGATGTCCAGCGAGACCAGGTTGACCAGACGCTGTACGATTATGGTCAGGACCTTCCCGGTCAGCTTGAACTTGTAGCCTCCCTGCCGGTCGCGCTGCCGGTCACGGGAGACGTCCAGGTGCCTGAGGAAGAGACAGGGCCGGGAGGGGCCAGCACTAAGACTTGAGACTCAAACACAGCTGCTGCACCTGCTTAACCTCAGTCTGATGGTTACAGGTATCATTTCTTTGGGTTTAGGCAGTGAAACACGAAGAGTTGCTCTTCCCCTCCCCACACTGATCCATTTGCATGACGCAATAGAGATTCAACCACGTCTCAAAGAGTAATACCAGGTTAGGAGCAAATTTATATGCCGAGTGAAATGTAAAATTGGAACAAATAACTGTCCCAGTGCCCAGTGTCCTGACCCACGTTAACTGTTATAAGTGTGATATTAAAAATGTGTAAACCAGCAGATGATCAGGAGCGTCAAACGGAGAACCTTCTCAGCTTTGTCACGACCATGTGGAAACCTGTCGCTGTTCTGATTCATGGGGGCAATGGAAGTAAAAGCTCCAAACAATGAAACGAACGATGTGATCTCTCGGGGCCACAGCCCCAGCGGCCTCACGACTCCCCCCCCCCCCGGGGCTCGCTCACCGGAGGTGGACCAGCTGCACCACGGTGAACATGTGCTCTTCCGACAGGTCCACGTTGTAAAGCACGAGGGAGGCCAGCCGGTCCTTCCACTGGGTGAGGAATGTCACTTTGGGCAGCTGGACGCAGGACAGGTCGAGGGAGGTCAGCGAGGCCAGCGGCTGCAGCAGCGCCTCCACGTCCACCTCCTCCGTCAGCCCCCCCAGGTTGAGCAGCCGCAGGCGGCTGAAGCCCCGGAAGGTGAAGTCCGTCACCAGCACCTGGCGGATGGGGTTGACCAGGCGGTCAGTGTCATCATAGCCCCGGGGGCTGTCGTCCTTGTAGAAGATATTGCTGCACCCGAAGAGGCTCAGGGACACCAGCGTCTGGCGGAAGTTGACCAGAGTCTTTAGGCTCCTGGCTGTCAGCTTCTCGCAGTTGGTAAGGTGGAGCTCGATCAAGTCCTGGGGGTGAAAGGGGTTTTAATACGGCGCGCGGGCTGGGAAAAAGCCAGGTGCTTCTCCGGATCGCAGGCACATCTCTGCCACGTGACGAAGACACCTATTAACTTGGATTTACTGCACCCATTCCCTCATGTTGCTTGAATTCAAATGGCTTTAAAATCAAGCCCTGTTTCCCTGAGGCCACCAGCAATGCATGAAAACTATTGACAGCCCAGCCTTGTCTCCACTCTGTCCTACAGTGTCCTACCTATACAGATACATCTTTTCATAGTTAACCACTACTAAATGCTACAATTGCATTTGTACTTAAATCTGCTCATTTGTAGACAATGTATTGGAGTATATTTGACCATGACAACCATACGAGGTCCAAAATAATACTATACTTTTTATGTGAAATAGCCCTAATTCCATTTCAACATGTTGCAGCTCAAGAATCAGAACTACCACAATGCCCCATCTGCCATTAAAACAGGGGAGATGTCAAAGTCATTCTTCCCCGAGAATGAGCTCCATAAGCTACTCGTAATCCAACAAAAAAACATAAATCCGCCAGCCTTTTTCTATGTATAGCTGCTCTTATTGCACTTAAAATTAAGCAGAAAAGAAAATTAAAGAGTGTTCATTCAAAAAGAGCTGTGAAGGAGCTGCAGCAGTAGCCTGAATGAATCTATACAAACCTGAGCTGCTGGCAGATTTGCTGAAACACCCTGCGTATAACCCACGAGAAGACCAGCTGCTCACAGTTCTGGGGTGTATAAGAATCCCAAAAGTGCAGATTGCTTTGCCTTCATACTGTGACCCTACCTGTCTCCCAATGGCCTCCAAGTCTTGGTCCTGCACTGTGTTCTCTCTCAGCTGGACTCGGGTCAGTCTGGTGCTGCGTGGGTCAGAGAACAGCAGGAAGAAGTTCTTGTACGTCTCGAAGTTACTGTCTGTGTGCACCAGCTCCATATACCTGCATGGCAAACACCACGAATCACACAGGCTGTCAGCTGACACTGAACATCCCTGGGGTGACAATATTGAGACAAGCCCCAAGGCTGGTAACAAATGTGTGTTCATTCACCAGCCCCCGATTACAACAGACCCAAAAGCACTTTCTGTCATCTTTCTTTATAATCTTATGCACTGATTTGTTTAACATTGTTTTTCCACTTCTTGTTGTCTGCTTTGAGAGTTAGCGCAATCACAATTTTGGGGAAGAAATCTCTTCGGATTTTCATTTCCTCTTGCACTACGTGATGTATACAGTACATTGAGTCTGCATCAGGAGAATCACTTGGGAAACTTTGCTATTTTCTAATTACTACACGGTAACAGAAAAAAAATGTAAAACTTAAGCTTAAAAACTTAACAGACTTAAACTTAAAACTTGGGTTTAAATCGCTAACTGTACCGGACGTCACCAGTTTAAGTGCCCCTCTAGGATGAACAGGTTGGGAGTCTGCATCAAACACACGTGTCACTTTTATGGAAAACCAGCAGCAACACGACGAGATCCTTGGACCCATCATTGATTCAAAGCCCACAGGCAAGACGAGCCAAACACACCCCTACTCCTGCTGCCGGTCGCGTGTTTGTGCACTCCAGCCAGCTGTCTGGAACCCAGACTCCCGGGGCTAGATGACATTTCCATTTTATTCCAAGTACTAGACCTCAGCGAACACTCCCGTGTCGATACGGGTTAGCCGCTGCAGGTTAAGGCGCCAGCTGGACAGGACGACAGGGGAATGACCGGGCCCGCCCTGCGACTCTGGAAGCCGCCCCCCCCCACGTACGCGTTGACGAGCTTGTCGCAGATCTCGCTGGGCAGGAACACCTCGGGATGCAGCCGGAGTGTCTTGTTGTCCAGCAGGTAGCACAGGGTGCCCTTCAGGTTCCGCAGGCAGTACTCAGTGGACAGAGCCATCAGTGACTCCGGGTTGTCCCCTGCTTTGGTTGCCATGGCAGCACCTCTCTGCCGGCAGGGTGAAGACTGGGGCTTAAGCAAC